GTAAGCCCACAGAGCATATACCAAGATAGACCATATTCTGAGTCGTAAAACAAACCTCAAAAAATTTAAAAGAACTGAAGTCATACAAAGTATGTTCTCTGAACATAATGGAGTCACAGAAATCAGGAACAGAAAGATAACAGGAAAATCACTCGACTCTTGGAAACTGTAACACACTTCTAAACAATCTATGGGCCAAAGAAGCTATCTCAAAAGAAAGAAAAATACATACGAAACTGAATAAAAATTAAAATGCCACATATCAAAATATGTGACTACAGCTAAAGCAGTGCTGAGGGGGAAATTTATAGCACTTAAAATGTTTACATTAGAAAAGAGGAGAGGTCTCAAGTAAATAATCTAAGTCTCTACCTCAAGAAGTTAAAAGAAAAAGAGCAAAATAAAATCAGAGCAAGTAGGAGGAAAAAAATAATAAAAAGCAGAAATAAATGAAACTGAAAACAGAAAAATCAATGACATAAAAAGCCAGTTTTCAGGGGGAAAAAAAAATCAGTAAAAGTGATAAGCCTCTAAAAGACTGAGAAAAATAAAAAGACACAAATCACCAACATCAGGAAAGAAACATAAGATATGACTATTCTCACCTCTCTTAATACTGGAAGTTCTAGCCACTGCAGTAAGGCAAGAAAAAGAAATAAAGGCATACCTAACTTTAGGGAAAGAAGAAATAAGTGTCCCTATTTGCAGATAACATGATGATCTACATAGAAAATCCCGAAGGATCTATAGGAAAGCTCTTAGAACCATTAAATGTATTTGGCAAGGTCACAGGACACATGATTGACACAAAAATCAATCCTATTGCTATACAGTAACAATGAGTATGTGGAAACAAAGTAAAAGCACAGTATCACTTACAACTGCTCTAAAGAAAATGTAATACTTAAGTATAAATGTAACAAAACATGTACAGGATCTGTATGTTGATAAGTGCAAAATGCTGATGAAAGAAATCAAAGACAACCTAAATAAATAAGGACATACTATGTTCATGAATTGGAAGACTCAACATAGGAGAGATGTCATTTGATCTCTTGGGGAGAGATGTCATTCTCCCCAAACTGATCTATGGTTTAATGCAAATGCTATCAAAATCACAGCAAGTTTTTTTTTTTAATACAGACATAAGAAAGCTTATTCTAAAATTTACAATGGAAAGGCACAGACCCTAGAATAGCTAAAACAATCTTGAAAAATGAAGTGGGAGAAATCACTTTGATATTAAGCCTACTATATAGCGATAGCAATCAACATCGTGTGATATTGGCAGAAGAGGAGATAGATCAGTGGAATAGAATGGAAAACCCAGAAATAGATCCACACAAATATGCCCACTTGATTTTTGACAAAGATGCAAAAGCAATTCAAAGGAGGAGGGATAGTCTTTTCAACAGATAATCCTGGAACAACTGGACATCCATAGAGAAAAAACAAAAAAATCTCCACCTAAACCTCACACCTTATACAAATATTAACCCAAAATGGATCAGGGGCTTAAAAGTAAAATGTACACCTATAAAATTTTTAAAAAAATAGGAGAAAATCTTTGGGATCTAGGGTTAGGTAAAGAGTCCTTAGACTTGACACGAAAAGCATGATCCATAAAGGGAAAAACTGATAAATTGGACCTCATCAAAATTAAAAACTTTTGCTCTGCGAAAGACCCTGTTAAAAAGGATGAAAAGACAAGCTACGGGTTGGGAGAAAATATTTGCAAAACACGTATTTCACAAAGGAGTGGTACCCAGAATATATAAAGAACATTCAAAACTCAGCAATAAAGAAACAAGGAACCTAATTACAAAACGGCTAAAAAGTATAAAGAGACATTTCATCAAAGAGAATATACAGACAGCAAATGAGCACAGGAAAGTATCATTAGCCACAGGGAAATGCAAATTAAAATGGCAGTAACATAGCACTTACGCACCTATCAGAAATGGCTGAAATAAAAAATAGCGACAACACCAAATGCTAGCAAGGATGCAGAGAAACTGGCTCGCTCACTCATACCCTGCTGGTGGGAATATAAAATAGTACAGCCACTTCAGAAACCGGTTGGCAGGTTCTTGTAAAACTAAACATGCAACTGCTACACAGCGGAGCAACTGCACTCTTGGGCATTTATCCCAGATACATGAAAATTTATGTACTTACAAAAAACATGTACACAAATGTTCACAGAAGATTTATTCATGATAGGCAGAAACTGGAAACAGCCCAGATGTCCTTCAACAGGCGAATGGTTAAATGGTGTACGGCGGTAAATCCTTACCATGGATGCTACTCAGCAGTTAAAAGGCAGGAACTACCGCCTGTGAACACACACAGTAACGGGGGTGTATCTCTAGGGAATCATGCTGAGTGATAAAAGCCAATTCCGAAAGGTCACATCTTGCAAGACTCCATTTATATCATATTCATGAAATGACGAAATGACAGAATTGGAAAATAGATCAGTCACTGCCAGGTCGGGGGAGGGCGAAGGGTGGCAGTGGCTATAAAAGGCAACGTGAGGAATACTTGCGATGGGAACGTTCTGTGTCTTCACTTTCTCAACGTCGGTATCTTGGTTGTGATATCGTACTAGTTTTACAGGATCTCACCGTTGTGGGGAAGTGGTTAAAGGGTACATAGGAGCTCTCTATTATTTATTAAAACTGCATGGGACTCTACAGTTCTCTCAGCATTAAAAGTTTAATTAAAAAAAAAAAAAAGATCAGGTTTGGTTCCCAGCTGTGTCACCTACGAATTAGGTAACTGACCTTACGCTGCGACAATACCATCTGAAGCGTTAGGAAAATTAAAGGCCATATATGAAAAGGCCTGGCACATAGCTAGTGCTTTAAAAATAGGCTGTTAACACGAACCCTATTTGTAGACACAAATATTATTCTGAAGAGTTATTATTCAAATGTCTGCTAGTAGAGCCACTACAAAGCAATTTATTTAAAAAGTCTCTTCCCAAGTGATCTGTCCAAATAAAAATGAGAGGAGAGGTAATTATTGGTTTTACAGTGAAAGATGAATTGCTAACTACTCATTGAAATGGTCAAAACAGACAAAGTGAGCTTAATATGGAATTACAATGATTAAAAAAGAAAAAAGTTGACAAGGAAAATAGGATACTGATTAACAAATCTTGTTTCTTGCTGGTAAGGAAGTTAGTAAAAGGTAGTGTCTGTATGTATTGGGAAAAGCTAAGACTGAGTTTTCTAAAAATGCACTTAATACACTGATTTAGATTTAAGATTCTGTTTCTAAGTATTTTCTCTGCCTCCCGAGTGGAAAGAAACTGCGAGTCAATCAGCCAAATCTTACAACCTGCTTGGTTAAGAGGTCCAGAAAAGCCGCAAAAATAAAATCCAGCTCTGTGACAGAGAAAGACAATCAAATGAACTTTACCCCAGAAGATGAGGGGAATTTTAAACACACAGTTAATCCCTTGGATCATACTGGGCACCTAGCCTTTAAAGTTTATGAAGTATTGGGCCAGAGCTCTGACTCACAGAGAGGCTTTTGAAAGAGGTGAAAAGGAAACGGGTGTTTTATCATTCAAATTATTCTCTTCCCGGCAGGATCCTAAAAGAGCTATTTCTATCAAAACGAAATGTTTTACTAACAAATACATCAAGTGAGAATACTGGTGCGAGATCCCTGATGCAGGCCTGGAAGTCTGGAGCCCAGGGTTCCAGGTCCCAGCGGGGAGCCACTTCATCGCCAAGGCCCAGAGCTTCCTCATGGGTGAAGTGAAAGACATGTGCCCATGGGTTGGTTATACAGCCCTTTGCTAAATTTAGAGTTCCTCAGGCACCACAAAATCTCATCTCCAGAGAGGATTCTGTTTGACAAGCTTCCCTCTACCTCTGTTTTGAGACAACTTTCCTCATACCTGTAATTTGGTTTCCCCAAAATGGGCCATGGAAAGGGCAGGTGAAGGGGAAAGGAAACGGTAGAGGTAAGAAACTCTAAGAAAAAAAAAAAGGAAATGACCCTATTCTAGGTACAGGAGAGGCTCTATTTTCCCCTCATCGGGTTTCTCCAGAATTCCTTTCTTTGGGGCCCTCTACTACAGGTTCACACAGTACACAGAAACTAGAACCCAAACTTGGTCAGCTCTACGCTTTTTTTTCTACAAACAAGTAGCAAATAATAAAAATGGAGCAAGGACAGAAGGAGCACCTGGGGATTAAACACCACCTGAGAGATATGTTAAAAATTGCAACGCAAAGATTTATATCCTAACGCAAACAAAACAGTTATGTGACAATGGAGGAAATCTGAACCGGGCTGGGTACTTTACCATGTTAAGGAGTTATTAAATTTTCAGGGTTCATAAGGCATCATTTTAAAAAACATAACCACCGTACGCTTATCTGTGAGCTCTGTAAACGAACACTTTCCAGTGAATCTATACAGTGTCTGGGGTTTGCTTCAAAATCAGAGAGGCAGAGGTACAGGTGAAACAAGACGGACGCTGAATCCATCACTGCTGAAGTTGTGGAGAGGGGCCTGGGTACTTACTGTTCCTTCTATTTTCTCTACTCTGTATATGTTGGAAATTTTCCTAATAACCAGTTTAAAAGGAGAGACGTGCGGCCGGTTTCCTCCCCAGTCTACACCGCTCTTCTGAACCTACTGGGAGGGCAGGGCAAGGACGGCACCCTGAATCCAGGAGGGGCCCTCCCCACCGCTAAAACCCCCGCGCCTCCAAAGCCCCAGAAGGTGTCCGGCTTTCCCGCTTCCTCAGTCCCCAAATCCCCGAGAAGAGCAGAGGCGAAGGCCACCAGGCCGACGGGGAGACAGGGTGCGCATCCTTGGCCGGCTCCCCCAAAGCTGGGGGCACGGGGCCGCTGCGGCCAGAGCAGGGGCAGACAAAGGCGTGGGCCGCGGTGCCGGCCGGGGCGCAGGAGTCCGCGGGGCCGCACCTGCGCGCACCTGGGCGCAGGTGTGCGGGCGGGGACGCGGGGAGAGCGTACCTTAAGGATGTTGTCGAAGATGGTGTCGCGGAACTCGAGCAGCGCCTTCTGGTCGAACTCGCGGCCGTGGATGATGCGCATCTGCTTGAGGAAGGTGGACTTGCCGCTCTCGCCCGCGCCCAGCAGCAGGATCTTGACGAGGCGCCGCACGGCGCGCCGCTCGCGGGCCAGCCCCGCGTCGATGTCCCGGCTGCGCCGCCGCGCCTCGCGCTCCGCGTCGCGGGCCCCGCTGCCGCCCGCCCTGCGCTCGCGGGCCCCGCCGGCCTCGGCCGGCAGCAGGCAGCGGCTGAGGGTCCGCACCACGCCGGACATGGCCGCTCAGGCCATGGACCCCGCGGCGGGCGAGGCGGCAGCCGGCCGCTCCCTCAGGCCGCGTCCGCCGCCGCCGCCGCCCCGAGGCCCGCTCTTGCCCGCCGCTCGGCCCGGCGGAGGGGCGGGGCGACGCAGCCCGAGGCCCAGGGATTGGGCCGGCTGCCGTCCGTCCGGACGGTCGCGCCCTCCTATTGGTCCATGCTACGCCGAAAGGCGGGCATCTCTCCGGCCCTGGGGGCGGAGTCGGCGCCGAAAGAGGAGGGACCTTTGGGGTGGGGGCGCTTCTCATTGGGCGCCCGGGCCGAGGTTCTTTCTTTCAGAATGAAAGGGAGGCGGAGTCTTCGAGGAGGCGGAGCGGCAGTCCGTTATAACCAATTATAACTGTTCTGGGGTCACGTCAATCGCAAAGAACGGATTTAGGATTGGGGGTGTCGCGAAACGGGGCGGGACCAGAAGTGCCAGGTGTACAGAAAGTCTCTCTGGGTTCCCAGATTGGGGTAACCTGTGAGACCCAGAGGCTCGCGGAGTGGACTCGGCGTTGCCCGAAAGCTGGGAAATGTCGATAAGAGGTCCAGCTGCTCGTCTTAGGTTTAGAGAGAAAGCTGTTCTTTCCAGAAACACTGGAGGGGGATGGGCCAAACATTGCAAACAGATGCATCCTTTAAGGGTGGCGTGGGCCTCTGGGCGGCGTTTCTCACAGCTGGCTGATCATCAAAATCACCAGGAGCCCCTCCCCCCCAACCCACCCCGCCAAAGGCTCCTGTAGCACGGATCTGAGATGGAATCTCCTCTCGACCCGTTACTAGTTACATAACCTTCTAGGCAGCTACCCCCACCTCCCCCCCCCATTTTTAGCTTAAATTTCTTCCTCTATAAAATAGGGGCCGTAATAGCAACTACCTCAGATGGTTGTGAAGATGTAAACTGAGAACATGAACTTGTAAAACATTTAGCACCGTGCCTAGACCCAAGCAAGTTCTTGATAAGTGTTAGCTGATCTTATTACTAATTCTTACCTATCCCAGATCTATTGGGAGTCAGAACTTCCAGGAAGGAGCTCAGGTATCTCTTAATCTCCAGGAGACTGGTGGGCTTTGGGAGCCATGATCTGTTAAAAGATACACTAAGACATATTTTAAAAGTTTAAGAGTTTATTTGAGCAAAAATCAATTCTAATAGGGTGGTGTCAACCCGGTTGGGAGCACTTTGCAGCAGGGAGCCAGGGGAAACTTATAGAGAGGGAAAGTGCAAAGCAAAGATAGGAAATTATTTGATTGGCTACAGCTTAAAGGCTAGTTAGCTGTTTGTGATTGGTTGTCTTTAGCTTATGGTATCCAATTTGGGGATTTGACAAGGTCTCTGAACGCATCTTTCATATTTGTTAAGAGGCTAAGGTGCTTGAAATCAACAAACTTATCTGCGTTGTCTTTTGGTTTCATAACCTTGAAGCATTCACAGGCTTAAATTTTGGTCTGCTCCTGTAGGCGGCCAGGGCATTAGGGACACCTCCTTGTTTAATTAAACAGGTCCTAAAGATCATCCTGTCCAAACCCTCCCTCTCACCAGGTGGATAAAATAAAGACCAGTCTACAAATGACTGACATGCCGTCCCACACAAAGGCCCACAAGAACCCGCTCTGCCTCTAACTAGAGAGGGGTATGCGCAGTGGAAAAAAGAATTCATGAAGGTGATGCCATTCAGTTCTACAAATAAGTTTTGCATAATCCTGAAAACACCAGGCACTGAGAACTTCTGGAGAAGAATCTGAAGATGACGAAGATGCGGCCTTTGCATCAAGAAATGTTCACATTTTGGTAAGGGAGCCAGGCTGCTCTAGTTACCAGGCAAAGCGCCGACTAAAGGAGTGCCTAGTTTCTGCCATAGAACCGCGGTATTCAAGGATTTGACTCAGAAATATAAACTCCCTCGGGACCTTGAATGCCCATGGTGTGTGGCATTTGTCAATTACTGAGGTGTGAATTTGTACCACTTATGAATCAACACATTATCTAGTACTTTCTCATCTTTCAAAATGATGAAAAATAAAGTCTTGTTTCTTTGTGAAAATGGCCTTCCGCAGAAAGCCAGACACTAGTGTATGACGGAAGTGCAGAGGAAGTGGAGAGGCCTAAGAAAGCAATGTTTCTTACACACACACAAAAAGGAATTTTGAACAAATAAAGAGAGGAATGTGGAATTCAGCAGTGGACTAGAGTTAGTCTGTCATTCAGTAAAAAGAAATTAAGAAAAGGTGATTCAGAAAACACTTGGAGCAACTGCTCCAGGCATTTACAAATAACTTTGTATCTTTAAAAACAGCTATGCCTTGTTTCTGCAATCGTTATATAGTATCCAATTTGGAGATTTGACTAGATCTCTGGACATCTCTTTCACATTTGTTAAAGGGCTACAGTGCTTGAAATCAAGAAGCTTAAATGTGTACTCAGAAATAATCTCAATTATTTGTATGGCACGGTATAGTTTTTAAAGTGCTTCCATGTACACGATCTCTTTGACCTCTTCCACACTGCTGGGAGGGAGGCAAGGCAGAGATTACTGTAACAGAAGAATCTAGGTCCCAAGAAGCTAATGTCACTTGTCAGGGGAAGTATGGTTATTAAATTGCAGAAACTGGACTGGAAATCCGACCCAGTGTATTCTCCATGCAGGGTATGGAAATAGTGAAGGCATGAGAACTTTGAAGCTTGCCTCCATCCCCTATTAGCTGTGTGACCTTGAATGAGTCACTTAACCTCTCTGAGACTTAATTTCCTTATCTGTAAAATCAGGATAAAAATAGGGCTGTGAAATAAGTGTTAAATAAGTTAACACATATAACGGCCTAGCACATCATGGGCATTCAGTAATTTCTAACATTTTTATTATCATCATCATGGAGCTTTGGGAATCAGGAACTGCAAATTTAGAATAATAATAATGGCGTGATGATGAAGATTCATAAGGACTGTACATTGTATGATATTAAAAATCAAAATCTGGGAAAAGCTCAGGTTAAATAACGCACAGCCATATAAATGCAATAACATATGGTTCCTAAAAAGAATAAGCAAGACCCAAATTTGTAAACAGATGGCCACTGTGTGTTTAAAAATTGGCAGAGGGGGTGGGAAGGGCGGCCTGAAAGTTCCTCCCAGCTTGTATTCAACTCCACCTCCTGAGCTAAGGGGCAGCCAGAAGGGAGTGTCCGATGGCAGGGCCTGGAGCATATATGTGGAAGAGAGAGCTCTTTCAGAATCTCTAGAAAAGGGAACAGCCACCAACTCTTTCACCCTCCAGCTAGGTGGGAGTGAGGGGATCAGAACTCAGAAGGCTAGGATAAGGCCCAAGATTCTGGGGTTCCTAAAAGGAAGAGGGTCCCCTTGGGTCCCCTTGTAGTCTCCTGCGAGCTTGTAGGGCTACTCTGGCCTGGGGAGGATGTGGGAGAGCCGCATGGGCGAGGGGCCTGGGAGCTTGTCAACACACTGCAGCTACTGACAACTGGGAGCTTCCTCTCGGTGCTTGTCAGGGTAGCAACAGCTGGCTTGTTACCTCGGCTTTCATCAGTGCAAAAGGGACCCTAAAAGCTTTCACTGAAGGCCAAAGAGCTCTGAGCAAGAAAAAGAAAATTTAAATAGGCCTAAGGGGACCCAGGTGCCAGAGAGAAGAAGACAAAACAGAACATCTCAACTAGTGGTAAATAAATGAAAGCACCATCGCTAACACCATCATCACCATCACCGCCACGACCATCATCTCCATTGCCATCACCATCATCATCATTACCACTGTCGTCACTGTATCACTGTCACCGTCATCACCCCACCTTAGGAGAATTGTTCATGGCATAGAAAGACATTATACAACAACACCATACGATTTTTTTTTTCCCATAGAAGATAGAATGGTAACCATTGAGAAGGGTTGAGAACAAAATGAGAGAACTGGAAGATAAAGTGAGGGAAATATCTCAAAACGCAGAGGAAAAGTATAAAGAGGGCTTCCCTGGTGGCGCAGTGGTTGGGAGTCCACCTGCCGATGCAGGGGACACGGGTTCGTGCCCCGGTCTGGCAAGATCCCACGTGCCGCGGAGCGGCTGGGCCCGTGAGCCGTGGCCGCTGAGCCTGCGCGTCCGGAGCCTGTGCTCCGCAACGGGAGAGGCCACAACAGTGAGAGGCCCGCGTACCGCCAAAAAAAACAACAAAAAAAGAAGTGTTGGCAAGGGCGTGGAGGGATTGGAATCCTTGTGTGTGGCTGGTGGGACAATAAAAGTTGTTGCAGCCACCGTGGAAAACAGTGCAGCAGCTCCTCAAAAAATTAAATATAGAATCCCCATAGGAGACAGCAATTCCACTTCTGGGTCTGTACCCAAAAGAACTGAAAGCAGGAACTAGAAGACATATTTTTACACAGCCATGTTCAATGCAGTATTATTCACAGTAGTCAAAAGGTGGAACTACCCAAGTGTCCACGGACAGATGAATGCATCCACAAAATGCGGTCCATCCACACGATGGACCACTATTCAGCCTTAAAAAAGAAGGAAGTACTGACACACGCTACATCGTGGATGGACCTTGAGGACATCGTGTCCAGTGAAATAAGCCAGACACAAAAAGACAATGTATGGGGCTTCCCTGGTGGCGCAGTGGTTGAGAGTCCGCCTGCCGATACAGGGGACGCGGGTTCGTGCCCCGGTCCGGGAAGATCCCACATGCCGCGGAGCGGCTGCGCCCGTGAGCCATGGCCGCTGAGCCTGTGCGTCTGGAGCCTGTGCTCCGCAACGGGAGAGGCCACAGCAGTGAGAGACCCGCGTACCACAAAAAAAAAAAAAAGTATAAAGAGATGGAAATCTTGAGAGGAAGGATCAGAGAGTTACATGTGAATGGTAAGAGTTCCAGCAGTGGGGGAAGAGATGGAGGAGAGAAATAATAAATAGACTTCCTTTTCTGGCAGTGTGGTAGACCAAAACACTACAACCCTCCTCCAGCAACAATGAAAAATGCTGTATAAACTATTACAACTTTTTGAAAGAGTCACCAAGCTGAGTAAGGAAGTCTCAGAGGGCAAAATCAAAGCAGA